TATGCACCTACACATAAAAAATGCAACATGTGACAACAAACACACATATATATTATCGACAGGTATATAGAAATATTGAGACTAGTTGTTTGAAAGCCAGCTGTGGTCAATCATGTATCGCGTTTGTTTCTTTATACAGCGATCGCTGAACCTCAACATTTTCACATTTTTAATATGTGGGGTTTAACGTCCCAAAACCACCGTATGATTATGAGAGACGCCGTAGTAGAGGGCTCCGGAAATTTCGACCACCTGGGGTTCTTTAACGTGCACCCAAATCTGAGCACACGGGCCTACAACATTTCCACCTCCATCGGAAATGCAGCCGCCGCAGCCGGGATTCGATCCCGCGACCTGGAGGTCAGCAGCCGAGTACCTTAGTCACTAGACCACCGCAGCGGAGCGACCTCTACATTTTCAGATGTGTGCATTACCTGCGTCAAGCCACACAAAATGAAAAGTTTCACACAACTCATTCTTAACTTGAGACATTTTCAAGGTTCTCCATGGTTACCTTTTGCACAGTTTGAAGACATTAAAAGAAAAAAAAATAGGCGAGTAGTTGCATGAAATGCCATTGTTCCCACGGCAACCGAGTGCGCGTCAACAGGGCACCCGGCTGCAAATCCCTGCTTTTTCTTATGAGCTCAATGTAGCGTATACTGCGCTTTCATGTTGCCAGGCTCAAAATATTCACATTAACTGACACAGCCTGAACAAATATATAGAGATTGTCTGATAGGTAAAGCAAGTTTCTTGTGTAATCAGCTCCTGTGAGCTGAAAATCATGTTTGTTTTGGGGAAATCGCTCATAACATAAAGTGAGGTGTGCACGATGGTGCCCGAAAAGCAGAAGCCTTAGATGCTCCATCAAACAGGAAAATTAACTGCCGGCAACCCGTGTCGTCAAGACGAGTGATGCAAGAAATTATCACGTCATGTGATAACGACATCACCTCACATAATCTGTGATTAGTGGGCCAATCACAAAGGCTATGTAAAACCAGGTGACATGCATAAACCTTGCAATATCTTCGGCCAGCGCGAAACCATATTAGGTTCTTCCGGAGGGGGGCGGGAAAAGATTCGCCTTAGGCAAATGCATACGAGAGCTTGCAAGTTTTTTTTCCCTTGTATTTTTAGCTATGTAAATTCATTAAAACATACAGGTAAGTCTTGAGATCGACATTGCTGATTCTCATGCTTGCGTTCCTTGATGGAAACAAATCATCAGACCACACATCATAGTGTAAAAAAATTAGCACAACTTTGTACTCCCCCAAACACTCACGCATTCACTCACTCATCTACCCAAGAAACACACACGACACACAGATTAGTGAGTGAGTGAATGTATGGAGTGTGTGAAAGTACAAAGAATGTATGGAGTGTGTGAAAGTACAAAGTGGCACTTATTTTTTTACAGTATGACTTTAACCAACTAGTCCAACAGCAAGTTTTGTAGACCAGGCATTGTCAGATTTCTGGCCGACAAAAGTGGGTTCGCCCGCTATATAGCCGTATTCTTACCATTAGTCATTGCGCAAATCACAAGCATGTCGAGATAGTGATGCCATGACGTTACCAAGTGAACGACACGTGAGAGTTATGCAAGTTACTTTTTACACTTGGTATCTCGGCCACGCCAACAAACACACACCGTTCCACATGAAAAGCCTTGAAACAGCAAAGCCCTGTAAAGTGAATCGAATGCGCGAAAGAAAGATGTGAAGATTGCAAATGCATCACCATGAGATAGACATTTACTATGTGCATATATCTGCAATGTTCTCCTGGTTACCTTTGTCATCTCCAGTTTATTCTCTTCGGCAGCACGTTTACATTAATTATTCCGCACAATACTAGATTAAGCACTTCCGCTCTCGGTGTGTGAGTGCAGAATGCATTCCTCAAACGATTGCCATCACAAAACAGCTGAAAAGAAACATACAAGATCCCCACTTCACAGAACGTGCTATCAGTGCGGTGAGTCACTGCAAAACAGTCGAACCTCGATATAACGAACATGGATATAACAAATTATAGGCTATGTCAAACTACCGACAGAAAGTATAAAAAATTACATGTATTTTGGCATTTTTATAATGAACGAACTCATGCGCGCAATGGATATACCGAAATCCCCGGACCGCTTCGGGAGTGCACTTTCGGCTTCTCCACAGCACAGCGGCAGTCGGGCAGACCCGCATTTACATCCGATGCACCTGTAGCGCCTTACGCGCTGTAGCGGCGCAGACGGCCAACAACGATTTTTTTTTTATGGCTTCCCAGATCGGCTAGCTTCTTTCTCTAAGGATACGGCTGTTTACTAAAGTATCATGCGCCTGACGCGCCGGTAGAAGAGAGCGGCCTTGACGATCGACGGCGTGGACTATGGCGTGGACGCGTCAGTTTGCACCCCGCCATTCCGGACTAATGGTTGCTTTGTTGTTGGGTGTGTGTGGCATTTTATTCGTTTGCACATTTTTGTAGTGCTAGGCGGTGTCGTACACTGTCGCCATGGCACAAAACCGAAAGAAACAGACTGCCTTGACTTATGCGAAGAAATTGGAAATTATTCGGCGTGTTGAAAGAGGTGAAAGGAAGTCAGTCGTTGCTGATGCTACCAAAATACCTCGCAGCACATTAAGCAGGGTGCTGAAGCAGAAAAAGAAAATTGTTGAGCAAGACGGCGGAAAACATGCCAACGCACAGCAAATTCGACTCGCTGCCTTCGAACATGTCGAAGAATCTCTTCATAAATGGTTCGTCGACGTAAGGGCTAGGAATATTCCTGTTTCGGGGCCAATGCTGCAGCAAAAAGCAAGACACTTCGCTTTCATACTCGATGCCAAAGATTTTAGTGCCAGTGCGGGTTGGCTGCAACGATTTAGGAACAGGTACGACATCGTCGAAAAATCTGTTATGGGCGAAAGCGAGTCAACGAACGCCGGAGCGATGGAGAAGTGGATGAAAGAAGAGTGGCCTCAAATTCGTGCCAGATATCATCCAATAGATATTTTTAACGCAGACGAAACGGACCTCTTCTGGCAGATGCTGCCGCGCCAAACTTTGGACACCCACAAGCAGAAATGTCATGGTAGCAAGCAAAACAAGGCGCGGATCACGGTCCTACTTGCTGCGAACACGGATGGTTTGACAAAACTTCGCCCCTTTGTGATCGGCAAGTTCAAGACACCGAACTGTATGAGACGCTGCCGCGACCTACCAGTCACCTATGCTTCCAATCGAAAGTCATGGATGACACGACAGTTGTTTGGGAAGTGGTTGAAGGAGAGGGATACGCAGCTTGGGGATGAAGGCAGGAAAGTGTGTCTCCTTGTCGATAACTGCTCGGCACACTCCGCAGATGTTCCATTGAGCAATGTTGAGCTCAAGTTTCTTCCGCCCAACACCACCTCCAAGCTCCAGCCTATAGACCAGGGGATCATCCACGCCTTCAAAGCGATTTCGAGCGGCTGCTCATTCGTATTCGAATGAACGAAGACTTGAAAATTGACTTGTTGGGTCTCATACAGATGTTGAAGGCCGCTTGGGAAAGCGTGAAGAAAGAGACGATCGCGAACTACTTTCGGCATGCTGGCTTCACCGTTTGCGCTAAGGCAGTTGAAGAGCCTACTGATGATGTTGAAGGCTCTGAAGAGGTTGTCGAGCTCGACGAAATGTGGAGTGATTTTTCGCGGTTTGTGGGCGATGCGTCGGACACGTTCAAACTGGAGGACTTCGTTGGCAATGACGACGCGTCAGAAGCGGTTGCCGAACTGACTGACATGGAATTCGCTGCCGAGGTGACACGCCAGCGAACCGAGATTCAAGCAGCGGAAGATGCAGTCTCCGAAAACATTCCACTGCCAACTTCTAGCGAGGCTTTGGCTGGTTTGGCTCAGGCATGGCGCTATTGCAGTGCGAGAGAACGCACCGGGCTCAAGTTCGTGGAATGCCTCGACATGGCATAGCAAGGCATTATATGACACGCCATAAACCAAAAAAAAAAAAAAAAAACAAGTCACGTTGCACAGGTTCTTTTCGCCTCAATAAATGTATTTTTGTTCAAGTAAGTGTCTTGTCGATTCCTGTCATGCTGTTGACCTATTCACACCAGGGTTTGGAGATTTTTTGGTGCAGTTTTGTATAGCAAATTCAGGCTATAGCGAACTATTTTGCAAATTTTCCGGAGTTCATTATAACAAGGTTCGACTGCATTGCGTTGCAGTGATGCAGCCTTAAATCTTGTACATATTACTCCAATGTTGACTAATAGCGGCAAAAAATATCGGGTGCGTAGCAGACACTTGCTGCTTCGACAAGACTTCCAGTGCGGGAGTTCACCGCAAAAGCCCTCACTCCTCCCATGTAATTCACACGGCGCTTTGGACACTTCCCCTATTTAGGTCACTCTAGCTGCAACAGTTAAATCATATCGGCACAACCAACATGCTGCCATACTGGCTTGACAAGGCCGGTTGCTACCAATGTTGCCAGCCGCAACTTAAAATTATATTTAAGCGCAGCATAGTCAAGCCCGTTGTCCTCTCCCGTCAACATGGTAAAAGTACATTTCATACGCCTGATTTCGGGAAAAAATGCCGCTCATTTGGTTCACTGTGGCCGATAGTCCGTTAAGAGTGAACTTTGCTCCATTAATTTAATACACAGACCATGCTTAGGCTGAATAGTAGTTGGATATATCTAAATATCTGTTGTATGCAGGCTCGTTATATTGAGCGTGACTGTATATGAACAAGCTTAGGTGTCTCAGATGCCTGACACAAAGAAAATCATAGCTCATTCATTTAATGAAACGTTCCTATTCTTGATACTTATAATAACTTGGCATTCAATTATTTCAGACGTTTTTTTCCAGTTGCAAGCCATTCGAATAAGCAGGCTTTTACTGTAGCACGCACAACAGCGTGAAGCAAATCTTCCTGGAGAGAGCAATAAACTAGGCCCGGACAGTGGCAATGACACAGGCTCACCTTGACCGTATTCTTGGGCACGTGTGAGTTCTCCGAGAGCCGCCGGCGCACATCACTGGCCACCACAAACAGGGGTTCCTTGCTGTCGCCACTTGTCCCGCTGTCCAAGGACAGCACCGACAGTGTGTCTCGCTCTTGTGCTTTCCGCAGAAACTGCAAAAAGGGCCAACACACTTGGTCACACCAAGCCCTCAAGTGTGGCCATGGCTTAGCTCTGTCAGCATCTTATATGAAATGTTGTACATGACACCACTTGAAGAAGAGAGGGCGTAATGATTCCTCTGGCAGTCTTAATTGCATATACAGTGGAAGTAACTTCTAATGATACAGGTTTAGAATAGAAGCTACAGCACAGTCAACTTTTGTACGCTTTTGATGGTGAAATAACCAGTTTACAGCAATGCTAGCATGCCGCATCACAATGAAGAATTCTGGCTGTTGGGTGTCTCTGTCGAAAAGTAATGGAATTCAAAATCCTTGAAAAAACTAAAAGAAAATGAGAAATTCAGACTGCTGAACCCGCACCAACAACCACAATGTACCTCAGCGCCCCTTCGAAGTTTGGGTATACAGCCGAACATGGCTATATCGAATCCACATATATCGAATTTTCGGGTATACCAAACGCTTATGTTATTCCCTTGAATTTCCTTTGTAAAAGTATAAAAATTCGCACATTTGTATGGAACGGTATTTTCACCCACCTTCGGATATATCAAACGCCGCCAAGCTAAAAGGTGCGCTTCGGCACTCACCATGCCTTGCCATCTCCACGGCAGCGTGGCTCCGCGCGCGAGTTGAAAGGCGCACTTTGGCACTCGCACACCCAACGACCTCCGCGCGGCACCACACCTCCGTGAAAACCCGAAACGCTCAAAAAAAAAAGTTAAGGGCAAGAGGGCTAGGACTGCACAATTTTTAGCTTGTGGAATGGCTTTTTTTTTTTCGTTTCTCTCTCTCATGCTTTTTCTGCGTACCCTTCAGCTCAGAGAGCAGGAACGAAGGAGCCGACGTCCTCCTCCTTTTGCCTTTTCTTTTATTTTTTGTTGCTGTTTTGAGAGGTTTGATCAGCCAACCACAGCTCGCGACTTTTACTGTTGCCCTTGCAGGTGGCCATCGCCTCGCGAGCACTTTGCTTCTGTTGTCACGTCGCCGACGTACCATCTCATGAGCAGCATTTCTCTTTTGCTTGCGCAGTGTACAAAGCCGCTGCGGACTACTTGAATTGTCAACTTCTCATGTAGCTATGGCCAGCATCAAGAAGCGCAAGACCCTTGACTTTGAGACGAAGTTGAAGGCTATTCTGCGTGTTGAGGCGGGCGAGAAATGTTCGACCGTCGCAGACGACTTCGGGACCTTGTTTAAAAACAAGAAAAATATCAAGGCAAAGGCAGTGGAGCAGCGAACGTCGAAAGCCTGTCATGTGTGTGCTTCTGCCCACGAGAATTTAGGAAAGGCACTCTATTCCTGGTTTTTAGAAGTGCGCGCAAAGAACATTCCGCTGGATGGCCCGATCCTGATCGCCAAGGCCAAATGGTTTGCCGCAGCACTCGGTGAAACAACTGCACCAACAATACCGGGTGGCTTCACCGATTTAAGCACCGCTACAGCATCATTGGCAAAACTAATTCTGGCGAAAGCGAAGCTGTCAGCAGCCAGGACATCCAGCTTTGGATGACCAAGGAGTGGCCGGAAATCTCGACGAAATTTTCTCCCGCGGAGATTTTCAACAGCTGGTGAGATGTGAAGACGGACACAGTGGTCAACTGTTTTCACAATGCAGGCTTTAAGACGACGTAACTTGCGCAAACCGGTGAAGACGACGACAAGCGCATAGAAGACGCATTTCGCGAGTTGTCCCGCTTCCTGGCAGCAGTTCTACATGAAGTGCCTGCGGGCGATTTCATGGAAGCGGACTGCAATGCCCAGGCTGTTGCGAGCCTCGCTGACGAGGACATACGAGCTGCGGTCGCAGAGACCCAGGATGCCCAGGCCGACAGCTCAAGTGATGAGAAAGATCGTCCGAACGAGGCGCTGGCTACACATGCGTACTTCGCGGCTAAAGTAGCAGCAGCGTTTTGCGTCATTTGCCGTTGTATCGGCGACATGGTGGGAACCGAACTGTTGCACCTGGAGAGCCTTGATAAGATCGAGACTAGCGTCTTCAACTTAATTTCAGAAACGAAGAAGCAGCCCAAAATAAGCGAATTTTTTCACGCAAATAAATCATTCTGTTGCGGCGTGTGTGCAGAATCAGCTGTCAATTTTGAAGGCACATATTGTAGGGGATGATCCGCTACAGGTAATTTCTTGGTGCCTCTATTTTTTTTATATCAAATTTTTCATATATCGAACGAATTCTTAATCCCCTTTGAGTTCGATATGTCCGTGTTCGACTGTATTTCATCACACAGCATTGTGAAACTGCGGCAAAGCTGACTTTTGAGATCTGCCACGGCACGATATTGGCAGTGGCCTCTGCTTAAATAAGAAATTTGAATAAAAGGTTGGAACTTGGAAGAGTTTCAGCTCCTGAAAGTTCCAATGTTATCATACACTAGATCTATGGGGCTTTTGGCAGTCCCGTGAATGCATCTGAACTTTCAAACATGTCCAAGAGATGAGCAGCTTTGTCATCCTTGTCACTGATGTCTGTTGGCATATCCTATACAATGAGTTCTCTCACAACAGCCTGCCATCCTTCTCATTTGGTTCTATTTGTGTGATTTATAGCAGTTATCAATTATAACGGTAAAAATTTTGTGGCACTTGAGTACTGTTATAAGTGGGTTAAATTGTACTCCGATACCTTGACACGTATCGTAGTTACTCGGGTAATGAACACACTTTTTTCTCGAAATATCGAAGTAAAGTTGGGGGTGCACTTATTACGCGGGGTAGATTTTATGAAAACTTTTTTTGGAAGGAGTGAGAAATGTGGTAATGCAAAAGAAAAAAAGCTAAATCGCTTAGTTTTTTGCAATTTACATATGTGTACACTGTTTGGCAACAGCTTTTTTGCTGCACTTTTCTCATCTTCTGTGGTTGATGGCGCTATCTTCTGCAAGCTGTCCCCAGGCCGTCAGCACACGTTTTGCGGCTATAAAAACGTTTTGCGGCTATATATTCTCGCAACCGTTTAACCTCTGTTTCTCCCAAACAGCGGTATCTGCTGTGATCTCGAGGGGCACTCCAAAGCATGGGCTACGACACTACAGTGCATTTTGCCAACTTCGCGGCAACCTCGCATGATGACCATGACGCCGCCGTTAACATTGTAGCAAGCACAACGAGGTCGTGGTAGCAAGCAACCAACATTGCAGCAAGCTACCTCCGAAGCATCAAAACAAACTATCAATACGGCGGCCGCATCGATTCTGCATGAGAAGTTCCTCTAGAAGCAGATAACAAGGGAAGCAAAAATCGGGGGGTGCTACCATGTTGCGGAAATCATCATGACTTTTTCTGCATGATAAGCAATTTTTTATGATTTTCCAGAGACCTGCCACTTAATAGGGACGAATGATTCCTCGCGACAGCAAATCCTGCTGTCCTCGCTCGAAGATCGCGTGCACGTGGTTGGCCCTTTTGTGTGTGTGTGTGTGTTGGGGGGGGGGGGGGGTGATTCTTTAGAAAAGGGTGGAAAGATAAAAGGGGTGTGGAGTGCATGACAACTGTCTCTAAGTGAGGACAGCACTCACGAGGAACAGGGAATGAAGGGACAGTTAGAGGGAAAGAAAAAAGAAAGGAGGATATAAAAAAAAAGGGGGACGTCCGCAGGAGGCGAGGGACATCGGCTGGGGCAGGCAGTTTGGTGACCTTCGCTCCCTGTGTGCTTATCAGCTGCAATGTCTCTACACTCAGGTTTCGGTGGTTCGTGAACCCTGCTGTGGCTTACAGATAGAAAGAAAAGGACTAGGCACGTGGCAACGGGCAAAGGGGGGAGGGAGCGAGCTGAGGTGGTTGAGGGGGTCGGCAAAGTAATAAAAAAGAAAGAAGTCAACGGGTGAGGAGGTGCCAGGTGTCGGTTAGCGGGACTGCAGCGAATGAATGTAGGGGGTGCTTTTATTGCGCAGAAACAAAAAAATTCAGAAATTTTGATGACTGAAGTTGCGGGTGTGTTTATTATGCGAGTGCGTTCATTACGCGAGTAAATAAAGTATATCCTTTGGTGTCTTTTCATGTACTCAAGAATATTTGTTGCCAAGGCTGGCACGATTGAGTTCCTTTCACTGTTACATGAACTGATAGGTACATCTTTCCCGTTGTGCAATTTTAAAGCAGCATTACCTGCATAGAGATCTCATCGTCCTCCTGCGTCCAGCACTCGGCATCGTCGTCCATGCCACACATAGAGAATATCGAGGCTGGCTGCACGCCAAAGTAGTCGGGAAGGTTCTCTTCCGACCGTGTCAACCGGAGAGGATTGAGGATCTTCGCAGGAACAGGAGATGTCTGAATGTCATCAACAGCCACTACTTCCACATAAATGAGGTACGGTGCCTGTTGTCATGTTAAAAAACAAAAGCCAGGTATGCTGCAATAAGAAATCAACTAGTAACACGTGCATGCATCACGCTTTGGTTACATTGACACATCATGGTGGCACGGGCCTTTAAAAATTTTTTTTATTCTGCGATTGGATTTTATGAAAGCTGTGTGTATATTTCCAGTATATTTCTATACCTACTTTTCCAGTGTAGTTTCTTAAAATGCAAGATATTTCATATGCCTTTCAGGGATCAATATTTTTTTTTTCTGAACCAAGAGAATTGCAAAGTAATACGATGACCTCGAATGAGAACTGTGTGCAGTGCTTTAAAAATGGAAACAACAGAACAAATGTTATGATCTGCTAAATGTTTTGTGGTAGCCAGCTGCATTGTCCCTTATGACGTACACTTCATTATAATGAAGATAGGCTCATTATATGCAAAGATTCATTACAGGCTATTCACTTTCTTGTTTGTTAAACAAACATTTCCACTGCTCCATGAGGCCTTATGCAAGTAACCCACCTTGTCCTTTGAGTTGAGCACAGCAGCCGCCTGCGGGGGTATTCTCACCACCAGGTGGGGAAACTTGTCCGAGTGCAGAGGGAGCCACACTCGTGCTGGCAAGTTCAAGTTGACCAGCGAAAGTTCTGCTTGAAGCCTCTGAGCTGCAGAGTTCAAGTTCAAGCCAGACAAGGTCATCCGATGCATAAGTATTTGCTCTTGGGTTCTGATATCTGTGCCCACATTTTAAATATGCAATTATTTTAACAGTATTCTTTAAAATACCGTATATACACGAATCTAGGCCGACCCCCGAAATTGGCAAGGTCAGAAAAAAAAAACTTTTCTCAAATGTAGGCCGAGCTTTCGACAAACGAAGGTTTGTGGCCGCAGGCTGAATCCAAACCATTTCATGAAGCGTGTTGTCCTGCCTCTGCTGGCTTTAAAACAGGCTCGGGAGACACCCTTCACGATGGTGACTTCTCTGGTCTTCGCCTGAATGATTTCAGTCGTCACGGGCACTCCTGCTTCCCTCTGTTCTCAAACAAAATTGGCAACAACATCTTCCACCGCATGGTGTCGGCCGGTTTTGGTCCAGTGAACGCCATGCGGGTTGCTGGACAATCGAAGAGTTCCGCACGATGTTTTCGCCATCGTTGCACAATCTTTTCGTGCACGCCGAAGTCTTGCTGCGCTCATAGGTTCGATGTCTTTTCCGCATGTAACACGACCTTTCACTTAAATGCCACGCTGTAGTGGCACCGCTTGGTTGGTGCCATCAAATCTGAAGCACAATTGACACAGGCCTTTCAAGAGCAAGAGGCAGAACTACACTGCATGATCGCTTTCAGAAAAATGACCATTGACCAACTCCGCGCCTCCTCTCTGAGCCATCCGCCACGCGATAGCTGATAGGTGGCCAAGGTGGCCACAGCCGGGTTGAATTTTAATTTTTTTTAATTTTTCAGAAACTGGTAATGGCTGGGAAATCATTTCATTTTAAACTCCAGTTAGCAAATTAGGTATTAAAATGAGGCGTTTTAGAGTGGCACTCTTTTATAAAACAGGAGAGCGGTCATGACAAGTCAAGTGGTAATGGCGGAACCAGCCTGTGTACCCAGCCAACCAAACGTTGTCCTCTTCACAGACCGAGTTATACCCCCTGCCTATCCGAGTAGCACTCATCTTCTTCACTACATTTTCCTCCCCTCCGGCAAAGAGCCATCCTGGCGACTCATGGGCAGGAGACAATAGAGGGATCGTAATACGGTTTTAGGCGGTCTATGTGGACGGTCTCACGTCCACGGCGTCGTTAATCATGGGGTTGCTCAAGCGGCTCCACGATGTAATTGACGGGTGAAGTTTGTTTAACTAGACAGTAAGGGCCGTTATACTTGCACATCAGTTTCGTTGAGAGACCAGGGCTGGTTGAAGGGGTGCGAAGCCAGACAAGGTCATCTGATGCATAAGAAGCCGGAGGCGTCGGGCTATCGTGGTGGTGTTTCTGGCGTTGCTGTTCAGCACTTGTTAAGAAGCGGGCAAGCCGACGACACTTTTTCGCATATTTAGCAGCTTGTGACATCGTCGTCGACTCAGCAACATCCGGGCGGCAAGGAAGGATGGTGTCTAGCGTGCAAGAGGGCTCGCGACAATAAAGGAGGAAGTAGGGAGAGAAACCAGTGGTTGTCTGGACAGCAGTATTATGCGTGTATGTTACAAAAGGGAGAATACTGTCCCAGTTGGAATGGTCGGTTGCGACGTAGATTGACAGCAAAGCTCCTAATTTATGGTTGAATTGTTCTGTGATGCCATTAGTTTGAAGATGATATGCGGTGATGATGCAATGAATGACTTGGCATTCCTTGAGAAGCAATTCAATGACGTCCAACAAAAACACACGCCCTCGGTCACTCAGGAGTTCACGTGGTGCACCATGACGTAAAATGATCTGATGCAATATGGAACGACTGACGTCACTCGCTGACGCAGGAGAGAGTGGTGATGTTTCTGCGTAGAGCATAGGGCGATCGATAGCGACGATTACCCAGCGATTTCCAGCCGGTGTAATCGGATGAGGTCCATACAGATTGATAACAACACGGTCAAACGGTCAGGCAGGACAAGGTAAGGGTTGTAGTGGAGCTGGAGAACTTGGAGTGGGATTCTTCCGGCATTGACAAGCGAGACAGGAACGTACGTAGCGACGAATGAAGCGATAATTCCACGCCAGTAGAAGCGGTGGGACAGGCGGGTGTCGGTTTTTAACACTCCAGCATGGGCGCATTGTGGGTCGGCGTGAAAGGAGGCGTATATGTCTGAGCGGAGACGTCTGGGAGTAACTAGGAGCCATTGGCATCCTTCAGAGAGATAATTCCGTCTGTATAGCAAACCATCTCTGATAACGAAGTGCTGTGTTTGACGGCACGTACCTCTAGGTATATTCTGCGAGGGAGTTCGACTCAACAAGTTGATAAGTGAAGCGATGCAAAGATCTTTTCGTTGCTCCTGTAGCATGTCGCCGACACTAAGTGCAGATATATCGGGGGCAGGCGAAGACTGCACTACATCGTAGAGGTGATCGGGACAAAGAGTCTGCGTCGAAATGTTTTCGCCCAGATCGGTAACCGACGTGAATGTCGTACTCTTGTAGCCGAAGCGCCCAACGGGCGAGCCGGCCGGTGGGATCTTTTAACGAGGAGAGCCAACATAATGCATGATGATCTGTAACCACGCTGAATGGGGGCCCGTAATGATAGGGTTGAAACTTTCCTATGGCCCATATGATGGCTAGACACTCTTTTTCGGCACTCTTTTATAAAACAGGAGAGCAGTCACGACAAGTCAAGTGGTAATGGCGGAACCAGCCTGTGTACCCAGCCAACCAAACGTCGTCCTCTTCACAGACTGAGTAATACCCTCTGCCTATCCGAGTAGCACTCACCTTCTTCACTACAATATTTCTATTCTTTTTTAACGCAGGGCAGACGTTCTAAGCCCCACATAAAAAAAAGTTTAGTTTTTCTTCACTGAGTATTACAGCTAGGTGGTGTTAGCCGCCGCCCGGTCTAAAGGGTACAGCCATGTCAATACATCCATTCATCGGTGGTAATCACGTGACACGATCCAGGTCTTCCCAATTTTTCATGACTTTTCCAATGTGAAATCTCGCCGGCTCGACGACCCATGCTCCCTCGCAGCGTGCATTGTGGGACTGCGTGATTTCGGGACAATGGAACTCACAAAAGCAATAGGGACCACTATTCTGCCGCTGAACAGGCCGGAGCGGCCATGTCACTGTGCAGCTACCGTAGAACGTCATGAAAATGAGCCTCCAGCATGCAAAACCGGTACCTTGAGATCAGCGCATCGAGGGCCGTAATGCCGCTAGCGCGGCCGGGCCTTTAGGCAGGTGGCACCAGCGGCCAAATCGTGGTACTCGAATCTAAGCCTAGTCCCCAACTTTCGCACATCATTAAAAAAAAAAAAAAACACCGTCTTAGATTCGAGTATATACAGTACCAAACATTTCATGTGCTTTTTGGGAGCTATAGTTCACCTGAACCGAGAGAGCTACAAATTAAGCTCACTAGAACGACCTAAAGTGAGTACAGAATGCAAAAAATTAACAATTGATGTTGACGTTCTATTCCCATTTGAACAGAGTTGAACATTCACCAATGACCATATGTCAAGCTAGGATATCAGTCGCAAATATTTAACATACTACAACTGCTGTTCAAATGGGCTTAGAACATCCAGTCTTGTTTTTCGTGCACTCTCTACTGATTCCAGATCATTCTCATGAGCTTATTTACTTTGGAACTCTCTCAGTTTAGACAAACAATGGCTCCCAAAATGGCCCCTGGAATTTAAAAAATACATACTGTAGTACTAGGAAAAAAATACGTACTTGAAATCAACACACAAATATACATAAACTCAACACATTTGAGTGAAATTGATAAGAACTTTCCAAGAAGTTTCCAGCACAATGCGAACCCTAAACCTTTCAAACACCACCTATGAAGAACTGTTTGCAAATGCGTCGAATACAATGTTATTTCAAGGCACTCTATATTAAATTGCAATAAAAATATTGTTGTAGTATGTTAATTTATGGGTGTTATCATAATAATTTGTAATTACTTTGTAATTAAATATCTGTTTATTATGAAGCCTTTCGTGCTCTGTTTTTGCATTAATTGAATGAAATCTCAGGCTAGAAACATAGTGCTGATTCCTTTTCAGTTATGCTCCGGCTGAGCAATGGAAAAATTTTATTTTTTACAGGGGGTAGCCGAAAGTCGCACGTCACGTGAATCGTTAAATATGGCAGTGCAAAGCGATCATATGCACGCCACAAAATAAAGTTCGATGAAAACAAATCTTTTATGCAGGAGGTTCTATTCCTCCAAAAAGCTCAATGCAGTTCGCTCTTTCTGAGCTCCCAGTAGATACACAAGTGGTGCACACAATTGTGTACATAGCATGTCAGCGGTGCCACATGAATGACCGACAACTTGTCCACAGCAAACTAAAGTAGGCTATATCACATAATTCATAACACAATCCAGCTAGAATGCAGTGAACTCAATGTCCACAACAAAAACTCAACCATGCTGTAATGGCCAGATGCCATGTTTTCATGCCCATGGCCCAAACAAGAACGCAAAGTTGCCCTAGACTGGGTAATTATTTGGTGAAAGAATATAACACGCAATGCACAGAAGCTGATAGGAGAAGTGCATATTGTCGCGACGTCAAGAGAGAGGTCGTACTCGAAGATGCTGAGAAAACAGCAGCGGGTCGGTCCTTTTGTTGACCGTGTGAGAGAGAGTTCCTCATCTTTCTCGTTGTTGCGTTCTGCATAAAAGCGTGCAGATGCGCGTATGCGCTGTCGCCTTCGTCTTTTTCGCGGGACGCACGTGACATTTGCCTCCCTCCAAAAATGGCATCGTCTCGATGCGCAGCCAAGGCACTCTACTTATAAAAAAGCACATATGCACCGGCACGCACAGGATAAACGACAGTTAGCTGGACAAGTAGGGTTTCATCCGGATGACATGCACGATTTCGGGTGAGCAGTTTCGGCGACTGGAACTGCAATCGCCGTCGGGAATAACTTCGTAGTTGATGTCGTTCAATCGTCGGGTGACTCGATATG